CGGGTTGCGCAGGCGAGACATCATCATTCGGTTTCTCGGTCAACCCCTCTTCATTCGTTTCGATGGTAAATTGGTACTGGCATATGTTAGGCGGTGACGATCTCAGGTTAATGTGAGATTCATCTTCGCTCCCTCGATCAACTCACACATTCAGCAGGAGAATTGCTAATTCGAGAACCAGAGAGGTTGGACAGCCGAAATTTTAAGTGGATGTTCCCCGTAAAAATTTCAAATTCAGCCTCCAGATATGCACGGACATTGAAAAGTTTCGATGAGAAAATTCGTTCATTGAACAGCTCATTGTCAGCCAGCTCATTTTCCAGTTTTTATTCTCCTTCTTGCTACTTTGAGAAATCTCGATCCTGGCACAGTTTCGTTTGATACTTCGTCTGGGATTTCAGTTACTAATTCAGTTGCAAGAGCAAACCGATCAAAACTTCTGCGATTCGTTCATTCATTTCGATGGTAAATTGGTATTGACACTTGCTAGAGTGTGGAGTGTGGCGATCTTAGTTAAGCGAGATTTTTCGCACGTCATGTAAAAAGAGCAATTTGGAAGGCCACCAACACGCCGGATTCATCCTCCGTCCCGTGTACTTGACCAAATTGTAGCAACCAGGTTGACTCTGAAAGCCCGGCTAGTGAAAGCTGGACAGTTAAAAATATGAGAGAAGGAGATAAAAACGAGATAACTTAACGGACCGGAACATTTCTTACCTGTTACAAATATTCCTTAGTCCCCTTTCCCCATCTTACTTCGCTTTTTCTTCATTTTCTTCCCTTCATATTTCCTCTGCAACCTCTAATAAAACGTGTGGATGCGCGGTGAGCCCAGTCGGTGTGTTTTCGCTCGCCCCATCGCTGGAAAATGTTCCGAATATGAGTCCTGTGGTAAATTAGTAAAACATCTTGTGTTTACCAGTGAGTTAAGCCTTCCATCAGAGATTGAATTAATTTTTCCATCAGATTGCTCCTCGAAAGAGGGAACTATAGCAATATCCTTTGCGGAGAATGATTTCCTTCAAAGAGTTACAGTAAAATACCCTGAAAATAGCAAAAAAACGAATCGAATCTATTTGCTGATCTGTTTTTCGTTTCTCTAAACGATTATAGTAAAAGGGGCGAATCGGATTTTTTTAGCTGACTTTTTTCCACTTTTGCGCATCTCCTG